TTGTCAGGTATTGAATATTCAATAAATAAAGAACACAGAATTATTAAATATAAAACACAGAATTTGTGTGATTATACTAAATGATTTACAAATAAACACCACTGCATATTTACAACTGTTACACATGCTGATGTAACGCAAATGTTTCCAACTTGGGATCAATAAAGTATATCTTATACTGGAGTTACAGTATAAGAGCCATATTTTTTATTTTCGCCACACTAAAATGTAAATGTTCTTACTTTGAAAAAGGCTTCTTCAGCTAAATGATGAGTTCTGCTGAAATGAAACAGAGAAGAGTTTAATAGAGATCTTTAATACAATTAAAAAATGTACCAGCTAGAGCAAATTAAACTTAATTTTTATGTTTTAACTACTGTTTTTAAATGTTGTTACTTCAGTCTACAGGCTATGTGTAAGCAAGGATGACCTATCTAGTGTGTACCTTGCCTCTCACCTAATGCATGCTGGGATTGGCCCCAGCCCCAACGACCCTGTGCAGCATAAGCCGCTTATAAAATAGATGGATGATTGGACATATGCGCTTGATTGCCCTGTAACACGGAAGTGATTTAAAACATTACCTAGAGTGTTAAACACACATAGGAATGACTACACACAAAATTAGAGCCCGAGAGGTGGAGATGTGAGAAGCGATTTTCTTTAAAGTCTTCGTATTGAGTGTGAAGGGGTCTTTTCAACAAACCGCATTATATCTCATCATTGCGAATTCATTCTGCATGGAGGAGTTCTTCACGGGCTCCTGATCAATTCAATGAGTCGTTGTTGCACGCTCGACTGCATGGCGCGGAGAAAACTGCAATAATTGTGTGTCTTTGGGCTGGCGTGGTGCTGCATTCCGCTCTGATGCTGCCTCACTGTGCAACCCCCCCCCCCCCCCCCCCTTCCATCCCTCAACCCTTAATGCCGGGCATTCTGAACGAGCCAAGTGATCGTTCAACACTGACGTCAGCAACGGCTCCCCCCTCGCCACAAATGCACACATCTAGACATATGGTGCACACACGCACTTGTGCTCAGTAATATTTGTAGCACCTCACCAACCTTGCCTCTCTCTTGCAGCCCCCCCCCCTCGCTTCCGCTTCATTCCAGGAGAGATGCACTCAGCTTTATTACACACTCACCCTCCCTCCTGCACCTCTGCCCAGCCACCATAAAAAGACTTCTGTCAGCTGTATTATAAGCCTGCCTTCTTTTTTTCGGATTCTGCAACGCTCGTAAAACATCCAGTCAGGTAGAGGGAAGGTTGCAAGGACGCCGCTGCAAATCAGCACTGACACTTTTACAAGAGCTCCTCTTCCCTCCCGCCCTATCTCTCTCTCAGCGTTTTAGTCCAGTGCTTTGTCATACACAACCACTCATTTTGCTTTTCATCCGACCCTTTCCCCTTCGTCATAATCCAGCCAATACTTCTGGAGAAAAAGCCCCTTCAAGAAACCTATCTTTCTCTGTAAAATGTGTTCAATTTGAGCAATCTGCATGAAGAGAAAGCTTGTTCTTAAGACGTGGAAATGTGCAACCAAAGTGCTTTAAACCCAAAAGCATAAAACTGTTGCTGCTGACTCTTGTACAGATTATCAGAAACTCTGCAGTCTTTTTGACACACTCGCACAGAGCTGGCAGTAACTGCTGTACTATTTCAGCCTGTACAGATTGAGGCGATGCAGATACAGGAAATGGCAAAGTGGCTACAGGAAATTGGAGCTGTAAACGCCTGTAGCCTCTAATAAAAAACACGCGCAGAGGAACAGAGATGTCAGGCAGATAAACACAAAAATCTGTAAACCAAATGGCCGTTTCTTTTTGATTGCATTTCCAAACTCTTCCTTTATCTGTGTGGAGAGTCTGACGACATACTGTAGAGCGCGTTGCACAGCTCGTGAAGAAACATCATGTTCCTATGGAAACACATTCACCCTGTAGTGGAGAGCTCACTGCAGGATAAATGAAGCAGAGGCTAATTTGCCATTTCGGTACTGTTCCTCTGCTCGATGATGATTGGATGGAATAATTCCAGCGTTGCTGTGCCTTCCAGTGAGGATGGCATTCTGTCACATTACACTGCAAAGGATGGATCATTTCCACGGAATTACTCTATAATAACAAATGAGTGTAGTCACGCCTGGCACTGGGTTTAGCTGAACCCCCTGTGCAGAATGTGTGTTTGACAGTCTTAGCTCAACAATCAGTCCACGGTGTGCCCAAATCTAACCTCACACACAGACAATTTCATAATATTTTCTCCACATAATTACACAAACAGTCTTTTGCATCAATTTTCCCTTTCAGACACACACACAGTAAACAAGCCCTCCGTGCTCTGCCTCCTACATGCTCACACACATAACTACCCACTTCACACACACACTCAGCGCACACAGCTGGTGCTTGTGTGCAATGAGGCCCGGGGAATGAGAAGTTACCCATCTGCAATATATAGCAAACGGCTCCAGTGTCTCTGCAGAGTGGGCTATGTGTTGTACTCAGTGTCCTGTTACGTGTTTCTGTGAGCGTCGCGGGACACACTCTGCAGAGATACCTCACTGATGTTTGTGTGTGCAGTCATGCATGCACGTTTTCTACAGCTGCTGTTTGCTAAATTCTCCTGGGTTTACATGTTTACTGCTTGTATTGGGATGTTACTGCGTAGAGCATGAAAGATAGGGTTACTTAAATACATGTTGTACATATGTACGTACAACATGGACGCCATTTGCAAATATTTCAAATAGGCAGTAATTTGTAGGGCTCTGTTTTAAAAAATATATATTTGGACCTATGTTTTGCTCACAAACCTATTTTACAACAAAGCGCACAGGATAAAAGACATAGAGTGGTGCAGTGATGACGTAATATTGCATGCCGTCCGAAAGTTAGCATCGCAAGGGCTCAACAAAAAGCAATGGGATTTTTTCATAGGATTTCGGATTATTGGAGAAAATAGGCTCTGTGGCAAACACAAAATGCGTAAATGCAATCTCTAGAAGTACAAAGCTAAAGCTATAAAGGTACTACATCACGGTTGCATGACTCAACATCAACACCGCTAAGCTAAAGGCGGCTAAAGTATGACCTGATGACGTTTACAAGTCTCATTTTGACGCCTATTATCAACCATCTTATCGTAAAATCTTCCGAAATTTGTCGTAAAACAAAACTCGGAAATGTGTTTAACCCTCCATCGTTATTTCAGTCTAACAACAATCCAGACGAGCGATTCTAAATGACTTATTTCCGGGTTTCAGGAATGATTCCTGCAACACTCTATTTCAATATTTTAAATATTTCATCATCTTATCTAAACAACACAAGAAAAGCCTAAATTATGTAAAATACTGAATTTGTTAAGATAATCAAGTTGTGTATCAATTTTAATCCAATGTTAGTTAGCATAGTAATGGCCAAAACTATAAAAAAAATTCTCACAAAGATAAAAAACGACATTCTATTCTAGTCTATTGTTTTAAAAAGGTTCCGTTTCTTCTCCCAATTGTTTTTATTTTGACCAGGAATTCTTAATAAAAAACACAATGAAAGTGGCTGCTGTTATTGTTATAATAAAGCTGTTTTATTGTTGTAATGTGTTCAAGCCAATAACCGAACCTCACAATGCTGAACAGAAGCTTAAATGCAAAAGCTGTAAATGTGATTTAGACTGTTTCACATTAATGTAAGTGCATGTGTGTGTGTTAGAAAGAAAGAGTGAAAACAGAGGGGGGAGTGTCAGTGTGACGTTGGGGTTTAGGACTAGTAATAATCTTGATGTGGTGTCATAAATCTGTTCACACACATTGTAGGGATTCACCTTCATGCTGGGGACAAAGCGCCCGTACACACAACGTACGTAAACCATTGACCTTTCAGGATGACTGGGGTTTGTTTAATCTTGGAATTAAATGTGGGTTGAGTTCAGGGGCAGGACAACATTGAGATAATGGAACAGTTATGGTAAACAACAAAAAAAGTCCTCACGAGTAACTACTACGAAGTGTGTGTGCAGCATGGGGCTGAAGGAAGTAATTAGCCTCTCACAGATCTTTACATGAGCAATGATGTATTACATGGTTTCATCATCATCACAGAGGGGGGGGCATATTTGTTGGCATCTAATTATCTATGGCCAACACACACACACGCACACACACACACACACACACACTTAGCGGTGAAATAAAAGTCAATTTTTTATATTGCCTTCCTAATAAACATTTCACTAATAAGATTCTGGCTGAAAGACTTTCATATTTTCTACCTGGACAAAAGATGAAATTGTGCTGAGGGATGCGGATATGTCAGGTTATCTGAGGTATCAGGAATGCTGCAGGAGCGTGTTTTACATTACTGCTCACCAGGCAGGTCGAACAGCAGTAAACACATACAAACATGAACAATGGAGTGTGAGGGTAAGGATGTGAAGGTTCCACTCCACAGCAGCATTCTCTTTGTTTACGGTCATGAATATACAAAGACAAAGCAGTGAGAACATTACATTTTAGTTGAATAAATGATGAGCTCACATACTGTATGTGCTGTACAGTATGCTATATCATATCATTTTCATAATAGCCAATATGTTTCTCACTTGTGAGGAAGGAGATTTGTATTAATAATAAATCATCTTTCTCAAATAATGATCAATCATAAATAAAATAATAAGACCTACACTGCTGTCATGACAGTCTACATTTAATATCTAAAATTGCATTTCATAGAAATATTCAATATCTTGTTGAAGTTGAAAGATAAAGCATGTTGTCATCAATACAAACCATTTAATTGTAAAGCAATGTCAATTGTTATTGTGCAAGCAGTTTTATATAGCAATGCTTTCAAATGTGTATTTATTAGACTTCTTCATCATGAAAATGCAAAAATGTGATTTACATAGGAGGATACAACAATAAGAGAAAAATAAATCAATACATTGTATGATGTGAAATAGCACACATCTCAAGGTTTCAAATTGAATTATTCCTCACCTTTACGATGTTCCCCGCTATGCGTCCTCTCCTTGGGATGAGTCCTCGAGCGTCTCACTAACCATCCACGCACGAGTGCCGTTACACCGCTTTGCGTTTAGCGTGGGTGCGTGCAGAAAGCGCGTGCGTCTATTGTTTGTGTGAGAGAGGGAATGTGAGCCTCAGCCTCCTCGGTGTCTCCGTGCAGCAGTGCTGATGCGGCTGTGAATGCATGCGGATGCGCCTATTACACCTGCATCGGTGTGCATGCTCCGTCAGAGCCCCCCCTTCCCGCCGCTCGACATCCCGCCTCGCCTCGTGCTCGGCTCTGCTCCGTGCGGACCAGAGAAGCTATCTCATTAATCCTTGTTGCGGTCGCACTGCATCTTACACGGTGTCAACTTTCTTCTGCCGCTCTCAGCTTTTCTCTGACTTTACAGGCACCTCTCTCACACACACACACACAAACAAACACACACACTCTCTCTCCTTTTTGCCTTACCTCAGCTCCAGTAGCCTACCTTATTACGGCGGAAATACAGGGTCCTAAAGCCTGTCGAAGGATGTGATAGTGGTGCAGGAATGAGTCCTCGCTCAGAGTCAGTTGATTGAATGCCTGAAATAACAAATTACCCCTGAGCAACCGCCGCCAAATATAGTTAATGTTTTCTAAATGTGTGTACACAGATAAGAAGGAACGATCCCCAGGAGAGATTTTAGATTTTAAAAAACAATTGATGCCTATTTGAGCAGTAGTAGCACTGAGGCTGCAAAGGTATCTGATGTAAATGGGGGTTAGGATGTAGCCACACTCCAGTAGTGTGTGCCTACCATACAGTCTATGGTGCCTACGTGTGTGAGGAAATATACCCTAACTAAATGGTTAAAACAATAGAGTGATGAGTCCTGAATCCCAGAAATGACTTAGCATTTTACCACTTCCGGTTCCCTCGCCTGGAAGTCAGTGAAGGCTTCTCAATTCTCAAATGTCCCCTCCTCGACTCCTCGGTCCTCCGGTAGTGACCCGGAAATGGATTTCAGCGCGCCATGTTGAATGACATCTCATTTCTCTAAATGCACATCGAGGACCGAGGATCGAGGATCGAGGAGGCTCCCGGATGCATTTCCGGCAACAGTGATGTTTCAAAGAGTCGTGATGCACGGCCGGACTTATCTTAGCCAATGACAGCTCTGCATGCATCCCCTGGATATTATTGTATTAACTGCTTTCATCCGACGCAATGTTTACAGTGAGAACAGCTGTGAGGTCCGTGCAGAAAGCAGAGCAGTGTGTATTATATATATCACTCAGTATAACAGGCCTACTCTCTTTATTTGCTTTAATTTAGTAGATATCTACAAACAAAGAGTCGATATTTTTCTAAAACAATTTAGTGCTTCACATAATAAAATACACAACGGCTGTATCCTGATGTATTATATGCTTTAGGAGCTGTAGGTGCGTGTTGTACAGTGTGTAGGTGTGTGTTGTACAGTGTGTAGGTGTGTGTTGTACAGTGCGTAGATGTGGCGGACAGACGGGTCTCAGTTGGTTTGGTGTCCTCTGCTTACTTTTAATACTTGTAAATAAAACTTTTGGCCCGTAATTTCAATTATATTTCAGCGACCAGAGAAGCAGGGGGCTGGGAGATATATCCAGTCTCTGATTGTGTTACGTTATCATGAGAGTGCTCTCATACTTGTTTGATTCTGAAATTGTATATATAAATATATGTGTGTGTGTCCGCATCTGTAGCCTGTTATTGTCTCATTACACCGCCCTGTGAATGAATTAAAAGTAAATATATAAGTCGTCATGAACACATCTGTCCATCAGACAGAGGGCTGCTGTGCTTCCTGTCATCATTAATGGACGTCTCCTTAAAATGACCGCTCAGAGGAGAGGAGTTCTCATTTCTCTAACCGCATGTTGCTTCCCCTCCTCTCTCCTCGGTTCCCCTCCTCGACTCCTCCGCTCGCATCTCCTGTGGGCGGGACTAAGACACGAGGATAGGAGTCGAGGAGGGGAGTCGAGGAGGGGAAATTAGAGAATTGAGAAGCCTTCAATGAGTTTGTGGTTTGAAGACTCAAATAAGGTCGGAGGTCCCCAGAAGGGTAGAATGAACCACACACACATGCTAAGTGAGGACATCTTCTTACTTATTTAAGAGGATTAGTAGGGTCAGGGCTTGATTTTGGGTTGGATTCAGGATTTGAGTTAAGACTGTAGCAGCGGAGGTCAGGTTAACATAAAATCAATCTGCTTTAAGGGATGCAAGGCGATATTATATGGGGCATTCTACCGAATTAGTACAAAGTGCGGTCCCACAACAAGAAAAACTATTTAACAAAACAATTAAGTATTCAGACATAGATATTTACTAAGAATATGTTATGGTCTATTTAAACATAAGGCATTAAATTAGGTAGTGATAAGCTTAATATATACAAAAACATCATTTATAGGGTACTTTCTATTGGGAAGTATACTGTCCCCAACCCTGACATCTAAATTTCAATTTCTGTAAATAACACTTAAAACATGTCCCCAGTTTTCATGTCACTACCGAAACACGAGGTATTTTAGTCCAATGGCTGAGCCTGGTTTTTAGCCACACCCCTGCATTTTTGACAAGGCAGTGACACTGCATCCCTGTCCCTCATGGCTGAATGGCAAGTAGTGTCGGAGTTTTGAGGTTTTTACAACCCCACTCGGCTCCGCGTGTCGTTTTGGCGGGTCCTGCTTAAAATCATAACAGGAAGGAAATCAGAGAACACCAGGATACCAGTTTAAACAATAATCTGTTTTAATTATAAAAGGTAATAATGCAATGCAATATAATACATTACAATACAATATAATACAATATAATATACTATAATATACTGTAATGTAAGGAGTAGGCCCACTCCTGCCCTGGTTCGCGTGCTGCGTAGATCCTTCGGTCCTGGCAGCCCGAGAAGAGAGAGCGAACGCCAGGACTCAACAGGAGATATACAAGAATAAACAGGAGGGGTTAGGTCAGCTGGTCATCTTTTCAGGTCATCTCATTGGGAGACGCAAAATATGCTGTGTCACAGTGAATCAGCGCGTGCCAGCAGAGAACAAAACAGGCTCACTTTGCAACAAAACACATCTTATCATGTATCTTATCACACAAGTCATGTGTTTCTTTATGAAAGCCATACTTGTTGGAAATGTAACAGTCATCATCTCATGACCTCCTCAAGACCAGCTGTCCAACAAAGCTTAACTGTCTTCATACCCCTGAACTTCCATCCACCCGAAGTCAGCTCACCCAGAATCAGAAGGACCATTGTCTCTCTTAACTGTGTGACTCAATTCTCAAGGCCTGCAGGATGCGCATCATTAACTTAAGAAGAATTTAGCCATTATATATAATGGTTAACCAAGAAAAACACTCAAAGGGGTAATCTTTTCACTCAAAACAGAACTCACAAGTAATTCTGCATTTTACCTCCTCAAAAATAGCCTAAAAACACCCTTTTGATAAAAAGGGTAAAAGTGAAAGAAAAAGACTATTGCGCTAATCTACTTTTAAGAAAAGAGAACATTGTTTCAGGAATCTATAAAAAACCTCTCTATATTTAAGAGGAAAAATGTACTTTGTTCCTTCAACTATTAACACACAGGAATGTATATACCCACACATATATTAGGGATAACATGATGCAATACACCTCTTATATATGGGTGACATTAAAATGAATATACCAAAAATATGCTGCATCACATCTTCTGCATAATACTTTACATACATTTCCACAGTAGCTATATCCCATACTTTTTATATAAATCTATAACAAAATCTGAAAATCGTATTAAAAAAACAAATATATTATCTTCAATTAAGTAAACTTTTTCGGGGTTTTATGCAAAGTATTAGGTTTTTATGTGTGTAAACCTGTAAACCTCTTCAAAGACGTGTATGCTAGCCATGTAGGCTACTTGCTAGCATTCTTTAGTTATGCTCAATTTGAGCTAGAATCGTCACTACTGAAACAGTCACTACCGAAACATATGGGTACGTTTCGGTAATTGACATGATCATTTCAGTAGTGACAAAATTGAATGGTAAGCAGGTAAATCCCATAGTTTTGTAATAAATGTGTTTTAAAGTCTGAAAATCAGTGTGTTACTTTAAAGGTCTCTTATTATACTATTGTTAGGCATATATTATAGGTCTCAGATATATAAAAAACATGTCTATCAAGTGTTTTGCTCAACATACCAAACAGATCACCCATTCTAGCCTCATCCCCCTCTCTTTCAGCTGTTACTTAAGTGCTGATTCTGGGTCAGTAGCTTCAAACATTCACACTTCAACATAAGGCATGTTATGAGTTAAGATTAAGCAATAAGGTTGAGGGAATATTATACAACCTGGATGTTTTGTAAAAAATTAAGTATATTGAGTTATCAACTAAAATGATATGATACTGATTGGTTTAAAGTATGTTCAATTTCAACAATCATCAACTCTGGAATCAATATGATCAGTATTATGCATTTTACAAAGAAAGTTTGCATCATGATTTTTATGAATTGTATAAATTGAACTTTGAAATGTGATTACAAATTAAATTGTATTGATTTAATTGTGAAAACCTTCAAGAACTATTTGTTAAAATACTATTTAGAGAAGGGAAGGTAAAACAATCTTAACAGGTTACTATAATACTTTTTGACTACAGTGTATTTACTATGTTTCGGTAATGACCATATGGAAAAACATTCCAATACAGTCTGAAAATACGATATCAAAATGTACGGTTCTTTTACTAGATATGTGTAATGTAGATATGGTACAAAAATATATATGGACAAAGTTTTGGGGAAAATATACACAATTTCAAAACATTTCCCACCTGACTTTGGTCCAATTCGGAATGGCCCATATAGGGTTTCTGGACAATAAGCTGCAAATGCAATATCTATAGTGTACAGAATAGGTGAACTATGAGATGAAACTGTGTTGGTGCTGCTGCTACATGAGGCTACACCAGTGGTTTTCAAACCTTTTCTGTCAGGCAGAAGAAGAAAAAAAGCAGGGTAAAGTGCTATTTTTATAGGTGGTGTGTGGACCTCACATAGGGGGGTCCGGGCAGGGGCGCCGTAAGGGGGTGAAAGTTAGGACGATTCTAAGGGCCCGTGACTGACAGGGGCCCAAACTATTTTAGAACATAAAGAAAAAAATGTTTAAGTAACCAATGTGATATCTTTCCATGGGGCCCAACATCCCTGGCGGCGCCATGGGTCCGGGGGCAAGCTCCCCCGGGAAGATTTATTTTTAAATATTGAAGTTAAATGCATCAATCTGGTGTCTGGTGCACTTTGAGAGCAACATGAAGAGATCTATGGATCAACACCCAAATGAAACAGAACTGTTAACATATTTACTTTTTCTTTATGGATATTTTACAAATCACCCTTTTAAACTTTATTCTTGTTTTACTGTCATATAGTATTTCATACCTGTTTTTTATTT